TCACATGTAATAGTGTGTGTCTATTTCACATGTAATAGTGTGTGTCTGGAGACAAGAGGACAATCTCAGGTGTCACTCCTTATCTTCCATTTTTTTCTTAAGATTCCCCACCCCTTCTCTCTGGCAAGGCCAGTTGATCCTGGGTATCTGGGGATTCTCTCGTCTCCCATGGGAGTGCTGGCGTTACAGACGTAGATAGCTACAGCATCCAGTTTTACCCGACTTCTGGGGATCTGAACTCAAGTCCTCCTGCTTGAATATCAAACACTCTAACAACTGACCATCCTTCTAGGAGCCTCTAGACCAGTGGTTCTCAACTTTCCTAATGCAGAGACCCTTTAATACAGTTCCTCATGTTGTGGTGAGTCCCAACGATAAAATTATTTTGTTGTTGCTTCATAACTGTAATTTTGCTACTGTTAGGAATCGTAATGTAAATGTTGGATATGCAACCCCCAAAGGGGTCGAGACCCACAGGTTGAGAACCAATGCTCTAGAAAGACTTGTAGACAACTGAAAGGCATCTCCTGCCATTCTTCTCATCTCTGTATGGGTAAAGTTTCACTTCCGGTCAGGGAGGAAGACAAAGCCTGGAGAACCCGAGTGTTAGGTTTCCTATCTGGAAGGAGGAAGCTCAGGGAATTCTTACCGTTCATAAGAGGTACCCATCAGACCTTGGAGAGTGCTGCAGGGTGGGTGCGATGGCTCGGAGGGTCAAGGTCCCTGCCATCCAGCCTGGCACCCTGAGTTCTAGTCACAGAGCCTACAGAGTAAAAGGGGAGAACTGATCGACTGCCACAGTGGTCCTCTGACCTCCACCAGTGCCCGTGTGTGTAGCACGATTAATAAAAACCCAGAGACGGAAATTGGGGTTCAACCCGAAGGTCAGAAAAGCGAAACAGCCAGCCACTTGTTCTTACCGCTACCTCAGTCCGAAATGGCGGTCCTGCCTCCAGGAACCTCAGAATGAGACTGTGAACTGTCTCTTCTCGTCTTATATTCCTCTCTAGGGCTGGGACTAAAGGCCTGCACCGCCTGGTTTCTATGGCAAACTAGTGTGGCCAGGGGATTAAAGGTGTGTGTCACCACTGCCTGGTCTGTAAGGCTGACCAGTGGGGCGTTGTACTCTCTGATCTTCAGACAAGGTGGTTTTTTTTTTGAATTAAAATACAAATGAAATATCACTATACATGTGCACCCCACACATACCCAGGCAGCAAGAATAAATACATGCTTTTGTTGTTTTTTAACGACTGATGTAGTCTTGGAGCTGTTGATCAGTGGTAAGACATTCTTGGTGACTAGGAGGTGGTAGTAGCTAACACAGTCAAATGACTAGCTTTACTCTAGTAGGCTGCCAAGGACTAGACGGATTTAGATGGCACCTGGTTAATGATGGCCCCTGGGACTTCACAGAAATCCCTCTGCCATGGAATGTAATGGCAAAAATGAGTCACTGGGTTGAAAAAAAAAAGCGAAAGAAAGACAAAGAGAGGGAGAGAAGTGGGAGAAAAGTTGAGTATCTTGCCTTTCTAAAACTAAGATTTTATTTTAGGTTTTCTTGTTTATTTGTTTCTTTTGAGGTCATGTAGCCCTGGCTGGCCTCAAAGTCACTTCCTATCAGAGAATGACTCTGAACTCACCATCTTCCTCCCAGGTGTGGGGTTATAGGTGTGCCCCACTGTACAGAACCTAAACTAGTGTTTCATTTGATTGTTTATCTATTTAATTGGTGATAAAACAAAACAAATTAAAAAACATGGTCCCACAGAGCTTCAAGTTCTCTGATGTAAATATATGCTGAAATGACCTTGAATGTACGCTTCTCCTACCTCTACATCTCCCATCCCCCACGGCCGGGATTACAAAAGTGTGCCACCACACCCAGTTTTGTGCAGCCCTGGAGACTAAAGTCAGGGTTTTCTACACTTCTAGGCCACTGAGCTTCATCTGCACCCCCAAACCTGACATCATAAAAGAGTGTACATTTTCTTTTCATACTTACTTTTGCTGAGTAGATATGGAAAAGACTGTAGGGCAAAGCATTCAAAGAAATTTCTCAGCCTCCTGATTTTCCCCAAGTGACATCATTGAGGGTGACACCAGTGTCTCTGTCTGCCCATCCATTAGCATCTTGCTGGCCCGTGAGGCAGTTTCCTTTGTCTCGTGGTGTTTGGTGTACAAGCCCGCCTTGCTCCAGCTCTCCTGGAGATCATTTACTACTTCTGGGATTAATAAGAGCTGCAAGTTTGTAGCTTCTTGTAAAAGCATTGCCACAGGATGGGGACAGACTCTGGTTTCAATCACTTGTACTTTCTTACGAGAGAGAGAGAGAGAGAGAGAGAGAGAGAGAGAGAGAGAGAGAGAG